AGTATTAAACTGGTAAAACATGAAAAGGTGCCAAGTGAGAATTCCTTTTTTCATTCTTTATTTGGAGACAGACCTCAGACTGAATTTTGAACTAAATATTTAAGGGTGGTGCAGAATTGAAGAAATTTACTACAAGTTTACTTCTCCAGTTAATTTTCGTAATTACTCATTATTTATCAATTGGCAAACAATGATGCCATTAATGTTAGTGGGACATAAACATGGGAAGAGTTTGCATTTTCAATCTATGAAGTTTAAAACAAACGCTAACTGAAATGTGTACAGATTCAAAACTAATACAACAGTCTGAACAAATTAATTCATTTTCCATGAAAATTCTCATTTCAGAACTTCACAGTAAACTCACAGACATTATGTTGATCAATATATACCAGTATTTCAATGAACTGTACTTTCAAACATCCAGAGTATTTTTCTTGTTTGAGCTCTGAATATCATGATCACAAACTGCTTTAACTTATGCACATTTTAAAAAATAAACTTAGATTAAATTTCATACATGTACATGCTGTACAAGTTTACAAAACCTACTAGAACCATTACAGAAAATTTAAAAAGTTTATGTTTCTAAAATGGATTAAGTCTTATATAAATGTGTGTTTTTGTTTTTCAGTAACAGTGAAAGCACTTATGCAGTAAGAACACTCTAAAAACAACAGGAGAATATGTCTTTACAAGTTTGTTCTGCCAAATTAAAAATAAGTCATTAAATAATATATATATAAAACATAAAACTGATCTTTAATTTTCAAGTTTTTCGTGCAACAGTTACCATAATGTTAAATTTTAAACTTCTCCATAATATGTGTTAATATAATTTTATTAAATGTTCAAAAATTATTTGTTAAAAGCCAAAATTACCAAAATCAGCTTTTCATTTCCTCATGACCATCAAATATTGCTAAAAAAAACAAACTCATGCGTCCAGTCTTCTAGATATATTTATTAACAAACAGGAAAGGTGTAACTATAAACAATCCTTACCTTCACCTTCCTGACTATGACGTTTCATTCCTCGACGTGATGGAGATGTAACTCCACTACTTGCAGTGCTAGCAGTTGCAGATTGATCATCATCATCATCTCTTCAATATTGTCATCACTGTCTGAGGCTTCTGAGGCTGAAGATGACTTAGTCTCATTTGTAGGTTCTAATACAAAGAATAAAACACATGCTTGTTTATTCACTTTCGCATGTCTTACTGGTATTAAATCAACAATAATGATGTTTGTCATTGTCCACTAGGGTGGTCCAAAAATATAAAAAAGAAAACTTATTTCGCATGATAATTGCCTATATTCCACTACCACTAACAATGTTGGAAGTAAAAAAACTGGATTGAGTTGTGCATATTGACAGGTGGCGCAAACTGAACACTTCAGTATTGTTACACATTTTAGGGAAAGACAGACAAAATAGGTGTTATTATGGTTTTTATTTAGTAGCAAAAACAAAGCTGCAAAAATCACTAGCATTGCCACCTCTTAAATCTGAATGGTACATAATTGTTATATTATTATTTATAGTATTTTATAATTCAAACTTATGAGATCATGCAACAATATATACTGTCTCTTTATATCTTGCTACCATCAATATATACTCTTTATATCACACTACTGTTAATATATACTGTCTCTTTATATTCCACTACCATTAATATATACTGTCTTTTTATATCCCGCTACCTAAATATACACTGTCTCTTTGTATTCTGCTACCATTAATATATACTGTCTCTTTATATCCTGCTACCATTAACTTTTTCCAGATGGGTCATGGGTGAAAGGCCATATCATCACATTTGTTTATTCACATTCAAAATTTTCTGGAAAACTACTATTTCATGAATTTATGTCAATAAGTTTGGTA